CAAAATCTTTAAACAAATCAAGAAAGCAAAACTCCCAAGTTCCAATAAATGTCCCAATAAACTCAAGACTGGCGAAACAGGACTTAGATTCCACTTATCAAACAACCACCTTCTGACGCTTCGGTGACGATGGCTTCTCCTCCGACGACGAAGATCTTTTGCTATTGCTACCAGAGAGAGATCCACTTCTTCTCGTTGAAACCATGACTCTCGTCTGGGCTCCCCCTTTTTTTTCCCCTTTTTTTCTTTTTCTTTTTTTCTTCCCCTTCGATTTCCTATCTGTTTAAATGCCAAATAGAGGACATCGAGAAATTTTATAGAAACGTCAATTTTGTATTTTATATTTTAAAGAAAATTCCGGTGTAAAAAGGTTGCATGGACTTGGAGATTCAATACCCCGTTATCAGACCCTCTCGAAAATTTATTACGGCGTAGAATTTTAATCCGCGCACTTTAGCAAGCGTTCTGGTAGTGAGAGTTGGTAGCGTATTCTAGCACAACGAATCCGCTCCCGCTAACGTACGCTACCGAAAAATATGAAGCTCCTTCCTTCGTATCGTTACGCAGCTTTTAGATGGTAAGGAGTTTCATGTAAATACAAATTTCATCAACCTTCCATTTAAAAAATTATGCCCTTCGCTTTTTATTTCAATTATCACGGCTTTTCTTTTCTTTTTAGCCCGCACGTTTGAACACTAAATTATCAATATAATTATTAAAAAGGGAGAAAAAAAACATACGAAAAGTATGATTTTTTCTTTTCTTTTTTTTTTAAGTGATGAGAATTTGAACGATAAACCACTAAAATCTTCTTTTGTATTGATTCTCGAGAAATATTTTTAAATTTAAATAAAATCACTCTTTTCAACTGTCTTTAATTTGCTGTATCAGATTAATAGGGGTTTTTGAAATGGTTCCCCCAATTATCTTAACAAACTTTTGAAATTTTTCATATTATCCTTCAATATCTACCATAGATGTTATTCCTTGCTGCTACGTACGTTGACCTTGACTTGACAGATTCATCCAATTGAACCCACACTAAAAGGAGGACCACAAGCTCGGGCTCGACGAAACTGAAAGTATCAACATGTTGAAACTTCTTGGGGTTAGCAGTGAAAGAAAGAGCCCAGCATTCATTTCTTCATTCATATTCATAGCTTAGTCTACTAAAATCAAATGAGCGTCTTTTTTTTTAATTAGCAATGTAGTCTTTTATAACAGTTGTTGTCCTTTATTTTTATTGAAGAACTTAAAGTACAAAATATAATTTGTTTAGTACAACATGTGATAATAGAGAATCAGACTCACGATCTCATAGTTTGAGGTATATGCTAATTATTGTTGAACTGTTCAACTCTACATGCTTTGATATATAATTTGTAACTTAAAGGTATATATGTTTTAAATAATTATCTTATAAGAAACTCATAAATTAATTAGTAACATAATATTTTGCATAACTTGGGCACGTTTTTTTTATTATGGCTACTTAGGAACAATTTAGTATGGATTTATTAAATAATCTGTTTTACATATTTAAAAATTAAATATACCAAATAATCTTGTATCGAGACTGATTTTTTTTTCTCTTTTTGAGGGGTAGAGACTGATTTTTAAAATTAAAAAATGAATAAAAACATAGCTGGTATCAATTATTTATTTTAATATACTCAATGTCTGAAATCAAGCATATTAAGTTTTTTTACCATAACAACATGAAAAATTTAGAATTTGACTTCTTAGTCCAGATATATGCATTGATAAATTAAACACGAAAATAATTTTTTTAGTACAATAAATGGGGACATGGGTTCGAAACTCCACCCCTCAACTTCAAGGAAATGAGTAGGTGCCAATTATCTTTGATGTTCGTGCTTTTTTAGTAACATGTGGGGATTAGAAAATTCAAACTCACTATCTATTGGTCAAAAGACAACTGTCAATTATTACTAAATTAAATTCAGGTGGGTACCGCTCGTACTTATATATGCACGCTCATGTTTGTGTTGGCAAACAAATAAAAATAAAAAGCAAAACAAAAAAGAGTTGATAACTCCAGCAGAGACATTTCAAATTATAATAAATGTTTCTAAAACCAATTAATTTTTGTTCCTTAAAATATCCATGCCCACCAACAATGCACATGACTATGCTTGATATTAACTGGATTAGCTTTTTATTGTCGGGTATTAGTAAGTCATATTTGAAGAAAAAAGAACCAAAAAAAAAAAAACATATAATTCTATTCATAAATTTGAGATATTTAAACTGCATTGTGGTTTATAATTTACTTAATTGTTACAATTATCCCGAGTAATAGTATCGTTAAACGATAAATACTATGATGTTATCTGTATTTCTATGGATGGTACATGAACTAATATTAACTTTGTTGGAGAGTAAAAACTAACACGACGCGTTGATCAGTCATGTCCACTCAGTAAGATTGATATGATTTGTACATCAAATAAATATAAAACCTTATCTATCAACGATGATCAACCTAAAGAAGTTTATAATACAAACCGATTCTTCTTAATTGCACGTTCAAGCTAGAATGAGACACACCTAAAATCCGATCTATGACCGCTTAGTCTCGTGACATAATGGTAATAATAGACATGTCCTCCACTCGGCCTATAAAAAGACAAATCATTCCTACGATTTAGGTATGCAATTTTGTCTGACGGAGCTCACATCCTCACTGATTTAAGATCTAGAATTTGTTTCTTTTTTTCAGGTCTCTTATCGTACAGCCCTCACATTTATAGCTCGTCCAAGTTTATCGAAAGTCGATATTTGGAACTCGACATTATTCAACATCGACAAGCCTAATAGTACAACAAATGTAATTTGCAGCATTAATTCGTTAAGTGAAAAATTATACAGTCGTTTGAACTAATCAAATTATGAAATAGATTATGACGAGTGCTAGATCGAGTAAGGAGGATACAAAACCAATTGCCTTATAATTATTATTATTTGTTGTAAATACGTGTTGATTTTTTGTTGTACATCAGTATAGTAAAAAAAATTTACTAAAAGTATACGAACGGAAAAAAATTTGTAGTAAGGTAAGTTAATCTTTTTCCTTTTTTTTTTTATGATGCAGGGTGATAGTCAATTAATTTCATATTTATTAAAACACATTATTAATATAAAAGAACGAACACAATTTAGCGGTAGTTGACATAAATATCTCGTCATATAAATTTTTAATATTATACTTGTCTCATGTGGCTATATTTGACAAATTGAACCAACATCCTTTGATGTTGAACTTTTTTTTGTTTTTTTTTTCTCGAAGCAACCTTTAATTTTGTAACTACCCACCCAATAGCAGGTGCGAACAAATTAAAATAACAATAATCTCACGATGTCATTAATTTAATTAAATATTTATAATGCATCAAATATTAGATTTAGGACGATTAGATTTGATAACGAAAAACAATATTTGTCAGTTTGATTCAAGCAGTAATAATCGATACCAATCCCTAAGAAGTCATAAGTTAAATATTCTCATCCCATTTGCTGTATTAAAAAAAAACGTAAAGCAGTATTTATAAACAAATTTAGCAAATACAAGTATTTTAACGCTCTTATACATTATTATAGTATTGATAAACATTTTTTCAATTTTCAATTTTTGTATTTCGTGGTTGTGAGATTCATATGTACCCAATGAAAACAACTTATTGCAACCAATAGCAAATATTGCATCTAATAATTTATTTGGTGACAGACAAACATTGATCAATTATTTATTATTTTAGTATAACAAGCATTAAACACACTGATTTCTTATAATCCCTAGAACGTTGCTTTGACTTTAACTCAATTATACAATATTAAAATTTAATTTATCCTATTTATCATACTTATAAAAAAAGATAGTGAACATACCTATTCATACAAGATTTTCGAATAAATTTGTTTCATGTGGTATTTATCCCTGATTATTTTTGTTCGAACTCGATGAGAAAATTGAAATGTTTGTTATTGAACTTGAATCAAAACCTATATACACTAAAGTTTCAAGTTAGGGAGAGTCTAATTCAAATTATTGTATGAATTCTCCGACTTTTGGATCAGGGAGACTTTGAATTTATATAATTTCGTATCAGTTTTAGTAGGTATTGGGTGATTTTGAACCTAACCCTAAACTTCGACTTGAGTGATTTTGGATCCAGCTCAATTTTTAGGTGGACTTAGACATGTTCAAATTTAAGAAAGTTTATTATCCATTGAGGTCTTATGTAATTTCAATTTTGAACTAAATTACATTTAATGGATTTTTGAACTAATTTGATTATGAGCCTAATTTATATGACTAAATTAAATTAAGCCTATTTTTCATATCATTAAATTCAATTAATTAAATTAAATGTAGAGGTTGTGACAATATTTGGTAATTGTCATTTTTTAATATTTAATTTTAATTTCGGGTTAATTAACAATTGACTTCAAATAAAATATAGTTTCGTCAATCAAGGTCAATTGTGGGAATTAAGAAAGTAGCAGAAAAAAATATGTATTTTAAATATAGTATTAGGCTTTAAATTTTACAAAATTGAACTTATACAATTACATATGACCAACTTAAAACCCCCGACATTTTTTAAGAAAAAGAATGACAATACTCTTAAGTAATCTAATAAGTTTTTTTTTATGAAAAATCATAAATGAATAAAAATACAAAACAATCGTGGAATGAAATATAATTGAAAAGGTATATACATAATGACTGTTTATTAATTAATTTGAATGGTAATTAGAATATAATGAACAAAACAGTAGTTAGCTTAGTTGAGGTTGGAAGAAGAATTAATTTGAATTATAACCCTAAAATAGTTTTATAATCGAAATAAGTTTTCTTATAGAAAAAAAGAAAAAAAGAGGAAAAGACCAAATAAGTTAAAAACTTGACCTGAAATCTCCAACGTTGATTGGCGAGGACCTCAAGACACGGTATAGGTGCGGTGCAGCAGATCCAGCCCCTCTCGTTACCTTAAATATTAGACAGAGCTGAAACCCTAGTCTCCTTCCTTTCAACACTCACTTGCGAGTTCTAGCGTTGCTGCCGGCGGTAAGCTTCCGACCACCCATTTTTTCGAATTGGCTCGTGTGATTACTGTCGATGAAGTACGGTTTGTAAACTAGCTGTTTAAATTTTCGATCAGAGATTAATCACACAAGTTATCAATGGCGGTCTCATTGCGTGACGTCAAGTCGGCAGCTGGTCTGAAGAATCTCGACGAATACTTGCTTAGTCGTAGCTACATTTCCGGGTTAGTTTACCATTTCATTTATTTTTATTTGGATTTATTATTTGGTTTGCCTTTATGTTCATTGAAAGATGTTTGATCCGTGCCAAGCGTGGAGAAGTGTCGAAATTGATAGTAGTGGTTTTAACATTTAGAACGATCTTCCTCAGGTATCAAGCTTCAAAGGATGACATTGCTGTTTATGAAGCTCTCTCCAAACCCGTGTCCAGCGAATATGTTAACGTATCTAGGTGGATCAATCACATCGAAGCACTCTTGAGAATTTCGTAAGTCACTTAATTGCTTAATTTTGCGTCTTAGTTTCGTAGAATTTATGGTTCGTTCTCGCTACTAAGTTGTTTTATGAACACGGGATTTAATAATGGTTTACTAGTGCTGTTTTTGGAGAGGGTTCTGGCGTTAAGTTCCAATCAGCAGAAGCAATTGCAACCCCACCGGCCGCAGATGCAAAGGTGAAAACTTTACACAATGTTACTTTATTTCCGTGTTAATATGTGATCCATGGACAAGCGAGGCGAGACATTGTGTTTTATCCTGTTACTATATTTTCACCTCGTTAATTCCTATAACTGGTGTACTCTGTAATAATTATCAGGCTAGTGCTGCTGCTGATGACGATGACGACGATGATATGGATCTATTTGGTGAAGAGACCGAAGAGGAAAAGAAGGCTGCCGAGGAGCGTGCAGCTTCCGTCAAGGCTTCTGGAAAGAAGAAAGAAAGTGAGTTCTTTTTTTTCCCCACTGTTAAAAAGCTTCCCATTGTCCTCTGATTTAATAATAAGTGGTGCATTTTGATCTTGCTTCGATTTCAGGTGGCAAGTCATCAGTTCTGATGGATATAAAGCCATGGGACGATGAGACTGACATGAAGAAGCTTGAAGAGGCTGTAAGAGGCGTTCAGATGGAAGGCTTGCTTTGGGGAGCATGTATGTTCTTTAAATCCTTGCCAGTTGGCATTGGTTTATAGGCGTGTGATATTCCTTCTTAATGTTGGAAGAATTCTGCAGTCCTTTTTTGGGTCCTAGTTGAATGAGCATCACTGTTTCTCTGCTGCCACTGAATCCATTTGATCAGTTATTTGCCTCAAATTATAGTTTTCATGATTTTATATGCATCTATCTTCATCACCATCAGTTTACTGGAAATCAAGGGGAAAATGTTGAATAAAAGTTTACTCAGGCTCCTTATTATCCTGGTTTATAGATGTCTAAAGCTTATCTTGTGTCGTCATCATCTGTAATCTACCATTTGAGTATTGTGTATTGTAATGCATTGTTATATCTTGTGAGGATCTGTTTTGACACCTCCCATTTAAATTGCAGCCAAACTTGTCCCTGTTGGATATGGTATAAAGAAATTGCAGATAATGCTCACAATTGTGGACGACCTAGTGTCTGTTGACAATCTCATTGAGGAGCATCTGACAGTTGAACCCATAAACGATTATGTCCAGAGCTGTGATATCGTGGCCTTCAACAAAATCTGTAAGTCCCATGTTTTATTTTGTTGTACATAAGCTGGTTAGTGATTACAGAATTTATATCTTTTCTGGCATGAGGCTGTTAAATAGAAGCTGCTGATTGCTGGATACCTATTCCACCAGATCTTGAATCCATCATTTTTTTAACCATTGGTGTTGTTATTTGTTGCAGAACTTGAGCTTTGTGTCAAGCCCCAGAGCAAATCTTTGGAAAAATGAGGCTGAGTCTGCGAATGAAGACGTTTCGTCATTTGTTCAAGACTGTGTATGACTGTTTCTCGTTTCTGCCTCGTCAAACTTGAGTTGTCTACTTTTGGTATACTCTTGTTTCCAGTTCCATTTGCTATAATGTCATATATTTTTTTGGTATAGCTTCAACTTATCTTAAATCTCTACAAATACACTTATGTTAGTGATAGAAGGTATCATCAGCTTTTTGAGAATTCATTGGATTATGGAAGGCTTTTAAATGTCATTCTCTGCTAGCATAGTCTAGTTGGTCCTCGAGGGTCGATTCAATTTCACCTTATCTCCAGAGAAACAGCATAAAAGGAGTGATTTGGCTGGAAATTGTCATGAGCTTTTTGATTATTCGAGGAAATGGGAAGAGAAGACGGCTAACTAGTGCCCTTACTGATTAGCTTAGTGATAAGAAATATTGGATTTGATAAGTTAAACGAACAATCAAAGCTTACCATTTCACTATTGAGATTGAGATGGATTCAAATTCTTTTGAAGCAAACAGTTTGTGGTTCTTAAAAATTGTGATGTATTTTCATAAATTTCTAAGTGATATATGATACTACTACAACTAATAACGATTGAATCTTAATGTTATTGAAATATTTAAAACCCTAACGCGAAGAAAAAAGATTTTTTGCAACCAATATAGTGTGCCATACTTTGTTAAAAAAGTGCCTACTTAGTAGTCAATACAATTTGCCATCTATAACTATAAAATAGTTATGCTGAAATTCTCCGATCTCTACATTTGTTATACTAAACGAACAATAAAAACAAAAAAAATTTGGAACCAATATAACTATAAAAAACCTTTACAACGTGCCACATTTATGAAAGCAATTTTGTTGAATTAGTTGTGAAACCTACTTCATTTAAGCTTGAGGCTTTGAATGAGACTGGACTAACAGAAGCTTATATTTGGACTGTAGCGATATTTTTATATTTGGACGAATTCAACAACAAGGAGTGAATTGACATTTATATCACAAAAAATCAATAAATTTTTTAAAAAATATCAAAAAAATATTACTAATGTAGACTTGGAAAATCAAAATAAACTAATACTAAAAAGTAAAAGTACATTATTAAAATAGTATTCATACCTTTTTTTTTCTTGTTAATTTGATGTTCTTGCAATTTAATAATCATAAGCAAGCTATTTACGTTAATAATATATATATTTTAAAACGAGAGTTGACTTTATTCAAAGAAAAAGAAAAAGAAAAATAGAGTTGAGACAGATGAAAGGCCCATCTGCAAGTGGGCCTACACGTAAGTAGGCCGAGTTTTGGGCTTCTTGTCAAACAAAAAGCAGCCTCATCCGAGACGGGTGAGAACTTTCACCGGCTCGCGGTTGTTGCTCAAGGACCGGCGAAGGAGAAGCGAGGAGGAGGAGGAAGAAGAAGAACTAAGAAGCCATGCCGAAGAGAACAACGCATACGTACTCCAGCGAGGACGCCGCACCAGATGGACCAGACTCTGATCTCTTCGTTTACTACTGCAAGCATTGTGGATCGCACGTCTTGATCACTGGTACTCCTTCACCTGGACTCTTGATTCTATGTATTTTTCCTTATTGAGAATCAAATAAGAATGAATTCATTCATTGCATTGATGTGTAATTATCAGCTGAAGGCGATATGGAACTTGTTTATGTATAAGCTGTTTGCAACTCGATGAAATTATTCATTCTATTTGACGGACGGATGTAATGTAGACTGTGGAGTAGGTTCTTTCTGTTTTATTGGCGAAACTAGGCTGGAATCAGGAAATTTAAGTGCACTCTTGAAGCACAGTAATGGCCAGGATTATTTTATTTTTTTCTCGTAGTAGTCATTCCAAGAAATAAGCATTTCGCGTGGTATTTGACCGTACTGAACATATATACTATAAGATACTCAATTGCAGAAAATGCCAAAAAGGAAGACAGACAAGGCTTTTGTGTTGGACAAGAAGAAACATCTTGCAAGGTTAAATATCAATGAGGCGGGAAAAATTTTATTGAAAAGGTAACTTTAACCTCTCTTCTCAGCCCGCTTATATATATACATATTTGGATATTTCAGTTCTGTGCTGAAGGATGCAAATAAATTTGTATTGGAGAAAATTTCGAGTTACATACAGGATTTCACCTTAATTTGGTAGTATTTCTGCTCTTTAGATGATCCAAGACTGATATCTATGAGCATCGTAATGGGTTTGAAATTTCTGACCATATTAACAAATAGCGGTTCTATGTAAGGTCAGCTTTGTTCTCAAATGTTGCTCAATTAGAAATTTCATGTTTTCCTAAATAGTTACATGTAACTTGACCTGATAACAATTTTAATTCTATCAGAAGGATAGATATGGAGTAGACTCTTTCCGTTTTATTGGTGAAATTAAGCTAGTGTCAGGAAATAGGTGCACTCTGTACCATCTATCTGCACGTGGAAAGATGATCTGGCGAAGTTGCCTTCTCCAACCGTAAACGAAAAGAAAAGATATGAGATTGATAATGTGAAAATAGGAGAGTTTCAGGCATGCATCTTCTGGTACAATATGAGATCACAGCTATGTTTAGGAGTGTGCTTTCTTCTTTTGAGAGCAATTGATGATCTCACTATCAAAGTAGGTCCCGACCACATGTTGCCATTGCATTTTTCGATAATTCCTAGTGGAGGAAGTGTCTTGTAATGCTTGTCCAAGTTCTCAAGCAAGCATTTGAAAATTATGATGGGCAGATGTGGATAATGGTTGAACTAACTAATGTGTAGCTTATAATTATTTTTCAGGGGAGAAGGGAAACTTGAAAGGCAATATCGAATGAACTGTATAGGCTGTGGACTCTTTGTGTGTTATCGCTCAGAGGAAGAATTGGAATTTACTTCTTTCATTTATGTAGTTGATGGTGCACTTAGTACTGTGGCTGCTGAAACCAATCCACAGGTATGACAATCACAATATTATAATAATGGCTAGGCTACCACCATCCAGTATGCACTGCTCATATTGTTTGTTTTTAACTGTAAACATCTTCAATATTCATAATAATTTTAATTTTAAAGAACTTCTCCAGTATCTATAGCAACATCAGTAGGGGCATGGGGAGCCCCTTTTTGAAGTAAATTTTCTCATTGATGTTTGCCGTTGGACAAAAAGGTTTTCAATGCATCACTTTGTTTGTAGTTTCATCGATGGATTTCTTTTTTTTAAACAATAAAGGCAGAGCAATTATGATTTCCATTTGTCTGAAATATAAAGAAATAATGAATATGTTGTCGTCATGCCTCGCACTGGGGGAAAAAAAAACCAATGGTTGTGAGTTGACTGATCAACACTTTCAAATGCCTATAGAATTTGCTCTAGTGCCAAATGAAAAATATTTTGAAGATTTTATTACCATTTCAAGAGTCCATTGCTTTGTGTTGGTATGTTGAGCTTGAATTGATTCTTGATGGACATATTATATAGTACGAGCAATTATTTGAAAATGGTTTGTAATACCTTATAATTTATTTTATAGAATGCATTCGTTAAGCATTCTGTAATATCATTATGAAAAATTGTTGCAATGAAAATGATGAAAGGTTCTAACTATCCTTATCTTTCTTTGGTTGGTAATTTTGAGCGTCAAGTAATTCTTGATGCACATACAAAAACAATAGTTTAGTATGGAAATTTCTTTACAAAGTGTTCCAACTTCTTATTGTGATTTATAAACCATCACCTTAATTTGATCTTATTTATTTATTTGGGGTGGGGTGTTATTAGGATGCTCCTGTGCCGCCCTGCATATCTCAACTTGAAGGAGGACTTGTCCAAGTGGCCATAGAAGTTGAAGATCGAGCACAACGTTCAGCCATCACAAGTATAAAATATACTATTGCTGTTTATTTATCTTATGCATTTAATCTCTTTATTGGTAAACTTAGATTCAATTCTAATTTTGTTATAGGCAGAATGCTAAGGTTCTACAGCATTTTTTCTCTCTCCTGGACCATGAATTGCGATTTAGTTGTCTGAGATCCTAGAATGTGACTGCGATTAAAATATTGAAATTAGATTAGTTCTTTGATGATTGATTTTTGTTATTATGTAACAAAGAAGAACAGGAGAGGTCCTGCTTTGCCCGGTAAGATAGAATAAGATTTCAAGAGTTTAATGTGGAACTATAAAAATATAATAATATATTGGAATTTTGGAATTGAGAACAATTTTCATTTTGATGATTAGCTCGTCTACTTACTTTCATTAATTAAAGTAAAACCAATAAATTGTTGTTTCACTGTGGAGGCTTCCGTCCATTATTCATAATATTGAACATTATAAGATACATATCCTAGTCCATTCTCATGAAGAACCAAGTTCTAATAGGGGAGCAGGGGGATGATACTATGTGCAAGATAAACATCTGTAGATGGGATTTTGGTTGGAAATCTGGGAACAGTCATTTTATGTTGAGATTAACTGGTGTACATTTCTATCTTTTATGTGATGCATGCTATGCACGTATTTGATATGTTGAACTTCCAAAGGAATGAAAAATCTGTCCTAATCTTTATGCTAAACTGTTGATTATGAATGTTTGTCACCCGATATAATATTATTGTTCTTGATTATACTCTCTCTCACACAAAATAATGATATTTTTTCTCTTTGCAGGAGTAAATGCTGATGATGTACGTGTTGCTGTTGCTGCACCTGCGGCGCGTGGAGAAGCCAACAATGAGCTTTTGGAGTTCATGGGAAAAGTACAATCTGATTCTTGTTATTGGCATATGATTTTAGGTTTTGGATTTTCAATACCTGCATGATTTTGCTCCCTCTTTCAGCTTCTGCATCTACATCAGCCATTATCTTTTACTTAGAACTATTTTCTCGAAAAACAGGTATTGGGACTGAGGCTTAGCCAAATGACTCTTCAACGGGGATGGAATAACAAATCGAAGCTTCTTGTGGTGAGTTGGTCACACTTCGTAACACTTGATATCAACTGCTCCTTTTGTCTTCTCACTGGTTTTTCGCTAACACAAAGCTGGTACCACATTATAAGATCTGGAGCTCATTTTGTGAGAAAACAGTCAAATTTGTCTGTGATGTTCTTTGCTTGTCGGTACAAATCTTGTTGTATTTGTAACATCCAGGTAATCGTTTCAGGTTGAGGATTTGTCTGCTAGACAGGTGTATGAAAAACTTCTCGAGGCCGTGCAACCT